TGGTTAGTGTTTTATATCCAGTCTTCCACTGACCAAACCGGTAATCATGATTCGTACAGCTGAAAAATAGTAAAAGTTATTTATTGTTTCTTTAACAAGACAAAAAACTTCAACGAAACCCTCATCTCCCAATGTTTACTAATTGAATGACGAGATGTATGGATCTCTTTATTTTGAACTAGTTTGTCACATTAAGTTTCGTGACAGACCATTTTAAACAAATAGTTACAATATATTTTATTAACCCCAAACTTCAATACAATCATTGTACCCCAACTTTCCTCATTAGGGGTATAAATTCCTGATTCCCTTTCTTGATGCTCATTTACGCTATACAAAGAATCTACCTGCATATTTCAAGAACCTAGGTTCAGTAGCATCGACCTATGTAAATATGAGAGCAGGTAATAGCTAGTAATATGCCAACTGCACTAAGTAATGAATATAGCTTCCAGAATCGGATTATGTTGCTTATAAACTAACACAACCGTCAACGACGTCTGCCCGCGTTCTCGGCGATGGCGCTTCATTGCTCAGACCGCCCCTCTACCCCCGCGCATCGTCCCCCGACGTCTTACAGTAGACGCGATGAGTAATGTCTTACTGCGTTGCGTCAAGTTAGTCTTATCGTGATAACTTTTTAACGATTCGTCCAAATTACTTAGTGTAAAAGACAAAGTTTATCTTTATTAAATAAAAACTAATTAATAAAGTTTAATCTATATGAAATACTTAAAACGACAATAATTGTATCAATTTTTATAAAAAATAGGCAGATATTCTAAAATGTGCATTGTAAAAAAGGTATCCGATTTAATTGTATTTATGGCTCAGTATTTTGCATATAGTGGCTACCACATAAGAGGTAGATATATGCTATCGCGGACTTTCATTTAGAACTATTTAAGATAAACAATCTCATGGTACATTATCTGCATGTAACTCTAACGGTATAGGCAGCGCACGCAAAGATAACTCCCACGTAGCAAGAATTTTTTCGACTTACTTAATACTTATCGTTATATTATGACCAAAATTACACAAAACCTTTGTGAACTGTAGACTATATGTTATTCTAATGTATAAACTGTATTTATTTAAAGTTTCATCTAAATCCGTTCAGTCGTTTAGGCGTGACGGAGCCACAAACATACAGCAAGCACCAAACATGATGGCGAGTCCACCCCCATGCGCACAAACTCATTTTAAATGCTGTTGGCGTTTGTCATTGTCAGAATAAGTTTTGTTGTTTCTGAAAAAATGTCATCGCCAAACAAAAAACCAGTCATCAAGAGTGTATCATTATATAACATTTTAATTAACTGTACTATTACCTATAATACTAAATAACATATGGAAAGAAATTACAAAGAAGTCATGTTCCATTTGCTACCCTAATCAAAACTAATTATAAGTACGACCCTGGCCGGCAAGGGGCTTATCGTGATCCAATAGTAATTTAGTTGGGAGAGTCTATACCTGCGTGATCGCTCGCCATCACGTTTGGCGCTTGCTATACATACATACATCCATCATTCTCATAAACTTTCACATTTACTGCCTCTGTAAACCAAAAAATCATCTCGCTTGCCATTTACCCTTACTACTCATTCAGTTTTTTTAAGAACAAAACACAAGAACCAGATGAAAATCCTTAAGGCGCCCTCAGAGCGGTGCCTGTGCGGAACTAGCGATTCACATTTGATTTGAATGGCTGGAGATTAAATCCATTTGGAAAAACGATCTCAGGAAGATTATTCCACATAAACGCAGTTCTCTAAATGAAAGAGTTCTCAAACAGTGACGTTCGAAATGTATTGAGTTGAACCTCAAAACGATGGGCAGCCACAGTCCGTCGCGTATTCTTGATATGTACCGCTCTTGGTGGAATCAAATGTGCCAAGTCACTTGAACACTTCCCGTGTAAGTATCTATAGAAGAGAGACAAATCTCCAACCTTTCTTCGATGTTCCAGGATATCAAGGTTGCACGAGATATTCGCGTATCCAATCCAGATCCAGATGGCTCTTTTCTGGATGGAGTCCAGCAACTAAAGGGTTTATTTGGGACAGAGCTCCATTCATGAGAACAATACTCCAAAGAAGTTCTGATCTGGACTTTATAGCATCAAAAGATGGTTCGGAACAATGTTCCAAACTTTTGAGAAGCAGCCTTTGCCATTCCAGCGACATGATTGTGCAGGACATATTGGTGTCCATTTTAACCCCCAAGAAATATATCTAAGCAGAAAGGGGAGTAGTTTGAACTGATTTTATTAAATCCGGTTCGGAGACATTTATCTTCTTAGAGAAAACCGATGCCTGGGTTTTTGTGGCATTGAATTGAACCTGGTTACTTTTACCCCAATTCGAAATCACTTCTAGATCCTCATTAAGATATGCAACCTCCTGCTGCCGGTGAAGATGTACCTCCCCGATGTCCTGGAATCCAAATGGAATGACGAGGCAAGTGTGCTGTCGTCAGCAAAGCAATATATTGGATTCTTGGTTTTTTCCAATAAGTCATTGATATACAATAAAATGAGGGTTGGAGACACTACGGATCCCTGGGGAACACCAGCGTTGATGGTGAAAGTATTCGAGAGATATCCATCGATCGCCCCTTGCAGGAAACATTCTTTTAGGAAGCTGAAGGGCCATACACACAAATGATCAGACAAGCCATAGCATCGAAGTTTGGCCAGTAAAATTCATAACAATAAATAAATGTTTCGGTGCGGTGAATCATTTTTTTATATTTAGTTATGATTTCATTGTAGATTTTTCAATCCAAATTTGCATTTGAAAAAAATTCAATTTCATATTTACTACTTAATTCTTCCGCCAATAAAAGAGACACGTTTTCTCTTGAAATTTGCATTTGATCCGTTATTTATTCATCATATCCAAGCTTCCTATTGTGAAACTCGTAAGTTAGAGCCCGGATGAGATTTACCATGGAATTGATTCAAATTCAATTCGAAAAATTACGTACTTAGTTCGATCTTTTTTAGGAATGATTTTTAGAATTGCACTCCTGACGCGCATGTACTCGTATTAAAACCGTATTATTATCTGATTCAAATATATGCATTTTGGCTTCGAAACAATTTGCTACCAAGTATTATATGAAAAGCGTTTAAGATGATTCGACACTGAAAGAAACTTGGTTTCAAATTTTTCTGATTGTTCTAAATGTTCTGTACTCGTATTTCATTCTCAATTGCAGCTGAAGATTGTTGATATTACTCGTGTTCCGTTTCAATGAAAAAAAAATCAATATGAGATGATATATGAAATATTCGTTTTTTTTTTATTTTCACGGAACATATTCATCTGATACTCAATTTAATGCAAAATGAATTGATGTTGAACTCTAGGGATTATTTTTACAGTGACGTTGACAAATTTTATCCCAAATTTAATGTGATGTTATGATTATGTAACCACTTGACTTTTTTTTATTATATACTGTATCTCCAGTAATCTGACAGGATCTGTGATACAACAAAATATATAACTTACAAATTATATATGTTCTGCTGATAAAAGATAGACACACTCATTTTGTGGAATACGATTAAATGATAGTAGCCATGAAAATTATGGCAGTTCTCTAATCCCAATAACACTATATAGCTCTGATTCATAAAACTTTAATGGTTTTATGACAAAATTTGCGTGGTTCTCATTTTTATAGCCTAATGATTCGATACGACCTATTCAAAAATAAACTGTTTCTGTTGATTCAAAATTGAGGCGTCAATGTTACAGTTTTTATAATTCAGTTACAATACATATGTGTAATGAAAAAGAGTAACTTAAGAATTTGTCATTTTAACGAAAACCAGGACATTATATCATGATAGTCTTGAACCCATTTCAGAATCCATTGACATCATGCAATTCAAAATCTATTTTTAAATGTAGTTTTAAGTAGTCATAAATAACTATCAAAGATTAACAGCAAATATTTCAGCTTTCTAAATCCTTTGTCTACTGTAAGACTCACCTTTCGCGGAAAAATGCATGCAATGGAATAGATTGACATGCACTTTGAACATCATATTGGTTGTGATGCTAATATATATAGTGTTTGAAAACATTTTGGTAGCCACACCATATACATGGTGGTCAACAGGGATCAATTAACGATTTTGAATGTAATTACCTTGTCAACTGCCAATTATTTGAGATACTCAGTTGATCTGGTATTATAAATGTGTGTTTTTGCAAAAAAATGTAAATTTGACTTTTTCTTTTTACACTAATTGCACGGCTTTCCCCTCCCTAGGAACGGCAATCGTAAGAAGTCTCAAGAAAATTTTTAGGACAACGGGTTAAGTATCTTTCAATTTTCATCTTTTAAAAATACGAGTTTCAACTTAATTTTGATTGTATTGGGAACCAATGATTAATATGAAAAACAGCTGACAAATTAGGACCAACAAAAAAATGATAATAGAATTCTTTACGGATGTGAACTATTTGTGGCTATAATATATTTTATTTTCTGGTTCATTTCACTTTATGCAAAATTCGGAGTGGATATGGTGAATTGAAAATATGTTTTCGTTGCTTGACTCGAAAAGATTGAATAGATGGAATTTTAAATTTTCTGAAACTTCCGAAGGTTGTCTTACTTACTTCTACGTAGGTCTCTTTCTATAATATAGTAACCAAACTCATTTAATCAACTTTTTCACAAGATTTTGAAACAACAAAAAAAATTAATTGCAGAAGATAAGTTCCTTCACTTCCAAACGACCATGTCTTATAAGCCTGAATGCAAAAAAGATATCTTGAAAACTAGTAAAGGTTTTGAACAATATATCTACTGCAAAGAACTTATTCCTAAATATTTAATTATTCACACAGAAATATAGAGACACATTTCGAAAGACTAAGATGATTTTTCTTTCGAATATTAAAAACTCCACTACTGATTTTTCGATAGCAATTAATATATTAATTATCAATGAATGGTCACAAAAGACTCACCTTCACTGGGCGATGTGTACAATTTTTTACATATTTCTTGTGTCCCACCATATTCTGTAATTTTTGCTATTCCATCTGGACCCCTATGTTCCATAAGGTCACGTAGCTGTTTTAAGGTAATTCCATATTGTGCAGGACGGCCGTCTATCGAAGCCATTTTCCGAAACAGTTTCTGAAAAGCAAAGGACCTGTTTCAGAAATTATCCGAAATTTTTCTCGAAGCATTCAACATATATTAAAAATCACTGAAGAACACTTCAGTATATCAAGGTAAAATCTGATACAACAAATAATTGGTACATCTCCGAATAGAAATGGCGATGGTGGAATATTAATAATGAAAAATCTTATGATCACAAAAAAATATTTACATTTGGAATATTTTCCAGAAGTCCTCAATGTGAGAACTTGTGTGTTTTCACGGCCGGAGTCATGATGAAAGAGAACAAAATTCAGGCTGGTAGGCCGTGGTCATTGCTGAGACTTTGAAATATATCCTTCGTTCACGCAGTCGCGAGTTGACTGATGATGTAAGTAGCAGTAGCAGACGAAACGTTTAGAACCTCAGGTTCCATTAGTCAACGGGCTACCAGCCCGGATTTTATTCCCTTTAATCAGAAGTTCTCGTTTCAGTAATTTGCTGAGGAATCTAGATTAATTTTGTGTTAATTCGCAAGTTGTTCTGATGACTCTGATGAGTGTACAATTCATCAAAATATGCTTTAAATATGTTTTTCCGCTAGCCAGCTGTCGCACCCCTACGAACGACAACCCTCAGAATTCGAAACTTTTGCGAACTAAGGACTAACGAGGCCTCGATCGTTCAGCCCTTACACATATACATTACAGAGTAATTGATTAAATTTCAAATACCTATTCGAAGTGGCTCAAAATATCGACTCCTCTTTCCTCTAAAATGTATCAAAATTATAAAGTATATGGTGTTGACTAGTACGAAATCAACATTATTAATCAGGAGAAAAACAAACATACTTATTTTTAGAATTTCGAAACCACCGAGCGTGAGAAATGAACAATTCAGTAAGCAATGAGATTATTTTCACGACAGTGTGAAAAAATCAAGAAAACAAATACAAATAGTGTTTTTCATTTTGTAATATGAATTTTCAAAAGTGGTGAAACAGTGAGGTTAGGAATGGTATTTGAACTCCGCCTTGAATTTAATAACTAGTTATTCAACACATATCATATGACTCATCGGGTTACAGTAATTATTTATCTAATGATCGATCATGTTACAATTTGTTGCTGTTTAAAACTGAGTCCTGTTGAATATCTAATGATCGATCATGTTTCAATTTATCAATATTCAAAACTAGGTTCACTTAAATTGAGCACATATTTACACTTTATTTTATTAGAATTCTTACCTTTTTTTAAATGAAATCAAAATTCTAACAGTGCGTGATAACCTCCGAACACATTTTAAAATAATTACGATAAAAACATTGAAGCACTATTGTAACAACAACATACAAATTTGAACTGAATTAGTTAATGGGTACGATGTAGAAAACTGTCAAATTTCAAAACAAAACAGACTACGGACTACGGAAAACACAGAACAAGAAATCAACACCGCGGAGAGTACACTGGAAGCGCGATGCCGAAGCCAACGAAACACGTCTCAGGTCTTAGGAATCGACGAAGTTCGGTTCGGTCGATAACAGTAAACTAAACAGTATGCAACGTTACAGCGTGAACAACGCAAGTCGAGTGAGCGGTTGATATAAGTTTGATTCAGGTTTTATCAACTATGTTGACGTTGTTTGATATCTTCTTACGCTCTTCAACGAGTGATCTATCACGTCAAAGGCGATTACCTATAAATTCATAAAGTTATGGAACGCTGTAAAATATGATAACTTGTTCAAATACCTACCTCAATTACATACATTAATTTGTTTGTTCTTCTCGTGGGATTCGGATTGCGAAATAAATAATATGAATATTATTTATTGTTAAGTTTACGAGTATAGTTAGTATTTTATAATCTAGTTTTAAAACCTCTAGTCCAAAAGAGACCCATTTTTGTAAAATAAATTCCAAGATTATACCTATCTAAAAATAGTTCCCGTTTGGTTATGTAATCTGTTCAGAATTGATTATGTGAAAAACAGGTACTGATACATGAGATCTATTTATTTTTGTTCAATTTATTTATTCAGATACAAGTTTGAGAAATTATCCGATAAAATATTTATGATTTCCAATGAACCAGTGATTGACTTCACTAATGAATTTACTCTTACTTTAACGCTTTTCAGACAAAAATAATTATACACGGTACGGTTTGTTGTACACGGGGCGGTTTGAAACTTGTCTAGTTTTTCAGACCTTGTAACAAATAGAAAAACCAGCCTGCAGAGAAGGTATGTAGATTGGGAACGGAAACCTTCGCGTCCTTCAACTGTTTCGTGTTTTCACTGTTCTTTTGATTTTACAATAATTAAATGAGTAAATAATACAAAATGATTCATCAATAGCTAAGTTACAATATTCAACTACGGCTTTAACATTGCATCGCTTCCTGCTCTATAACCATTTTTACAAAAAAACTCGGTACAATAATTTTTCTAAGCAAGTTTTAAAACTTCTTGAATTTTTCAAGATGGCTTTTCAGAAGATGTTGGACAAAAAGATCCTGGGAAGAGAATTAAAAGACCTTCAAAATGGTGTACTGCTAACCCCCCTACCCATTTATTATTCTGAGACTAACATCTGCCACTCGTAGGAACTGCGAAGGTTTTATCTATTCCCTTTAAATACATTTGACGGGTTTCTCCGAGTTTTCATATTCTTTGGAAGGATATTAAAAGTGGGAAGTGTTTCAATTCAATATAAACTTCCGTATTTCCAATCTGTTTCGAAACACGAATCTATCTTATTATAAAACAAATTTTCGTACCAACATTTTTGTCAACAAGAATAATTTTCAAATTTCAATACCGAACTTCATGTAGCCACTAATTTGATTATTTTTGAACTGTAATAATTAGTTTAGATTTTCGAAGTGAAACCATGTCGCAACCTCAAGAAAAATTAGAAAAAATGCAGCGTAACTGACGTGTTCTACTGATATCTTCACATAATTTATTGGTAGCTTGCCAAACTGTAAATTGGTAAAAAGTTCTTGCCGAGGTTGTAGCTCGTGATATGAATTTTTTGCGTTACCCCGTAACGCTGCATACGATTTAGTGAATGTATTTCTCATCCGACATGCTTCTTTCCAGAATTTCGTTATGAATGCGAGAATCATGAAACATTCGGTTTTGATGATTAAACTATCATTCAAATAATAGATTTACTGGAAAACTATTACGTCATTCAAAAAAGATCTTAATTATAATGAAACAAATTGTTTGTTATTCATCTCGTATTCACCGACCATTAATAATCATGAGAACAGGGTCAGACTTAGCCCATTGCATGAGCCATCAAGGATGATTTTGAAGAGGACCCTAATGGAAACATATTTTAATGTAAGTTCATACATAATAAATTCCGCCTTTTTTTGTGTGCTATCTAAACAATGATGTTATTTGGGTGTGCAGCAGAAACGGAATTATCCTCTTATAACAAAACGTATTCCAAAATTTCGTATTTCACACTTTCACTTAGATTAGACGCCAATTGTAATTGAATATTTTTCTTATTCCGTCTTACAGATCTCTGTCAAATTTCAATATTCATAGTACAAATGTTTTGTATACCTGTTGAATGTTTTTAATTTTGTGTATTCATTGATGTTTTGAGTTCACATCTCATGTACAATATTAACAGTTTCAATTTGTGGCCATATTTTTATCTTCTTTGTCTTGTGATGGTTAATAAATAACAATCTGAACACGGCTAACCTCACTGGCAGTAAAATATGCCTCCTATAACTTTGTTTTCATCACATATAATAATTTTGTAGCTCTTCCTTGATGACGATGATAATAAACTGTATGGAATACCTTTTGTTATAAGAGTACAGTTCCGTTTCTGTTGGACACCCAAATATCATTATAGTTTTGTTCTTGACTGAGAAGTAAAAGCCATAAAATTTCTTCTTTTTCAATAAAAATTACTCCTCTACATTTCTATTTGAGATGTAATAGTAGCCCCTTCGCGGGGGAATGAATAACACAGTCTGAAAATTTTCTTAACACTTTGAAAATCAAATCGACGTATCACATTTTTTCTAGTAAAGAGATATTGAGAGAGGAAAGTTTAAATATTGACACCCTGTAAATTCCTGAGTTGATATTGAACATACAAATAATTGGATTCTTTCTCATCCAATTCAATTACAATCCACACTTATTTGATTGGATTTATTTTTTGAACGACATCAAAATAGGGTCGTTCAGTCGAATCTAGTTTTGTGCATTTCTTATATATTTTGTTAGTGAATGTGCAGAATACAATGGCAAAAGCATTTACCGATAGCATTCACCCTTATCAATACACGCGACTTTGGACTGCGTATTTGTCGAAAGCTACTGTGACGTCACGAGATATGTGCGATTGCCGGTACAGCGTCTGAACTGGCAAAGCATAATTGAGATTATTGGTATGTTCAGGGTTTCTCCCTGTTCATTAATAGGTATAAATGCATTCAATAGATTATAACTTTAAAATAAATGTGATGTATTTACATGAAAATAATCCTCTCAACAAAAATAAGTTGATTCAATGAATACCTTTCGTTACATAGGTATTTGCAGAGCTTAGTTAACTTTTCTATTTTTGGCATAAGTTACAAACAATGTGTTTGGTGCATTTCGCGTTGAATAAGTAGGTACTAAATAATTTCATAAACTACACCTCACGATTTGATCTCCACAAACTTTATTTGATAAATATATCACGACATGTTTCGCTAGCACAGTAGCTTTATCAACAGTGATTTGAATACTACAAGTTGCTTCTTAAACTAATATTTATATACAACAGGTAACCATCAAATCAAATCATATCAAATTTTATTAAATCCGTTTTCCTATTATACAATGGATTGGACGTGTCTGGTGAGGTGTAGAACCCACACACTTACTACAAAAAAAGTTACTCCTTAAGTACTAGTTTACAGGTTAGGTTGACAAAATAGAGTATATACACATACATACATGAACATAATACATTGTTGAGTATGTAACCCTAATA